TTTAAATCAATGGGACTGGTAGAAACTATGACACTGGACGCGTAAAATCCACAACTCAATAAAACCTCGATGATAAATCCAAACGAAAACATAAGGCCGTGTTCGGTTTTCTTTTTTTTGGTGGATTCAGGTGGATCGAGGCAATCGTGGATCGGACGATATCGATTTTTTCGTGTTCGGTGAAGAAAAAAAGGTGGATCGGGATGGCCAGGATCATGAATCTCGGAATCCATGTCACGCGGTGGATTTCGGCCATCGCAAAGTGAATCGGGCAATTTTAATAAAAGTACGATTAAAATTACAGGCGCTCAAAATTGCGCGCGCATTTGAACGGATGGCTGACGACGACGACATAGTTCTCCTTGCGTGCGCCATGGCCATAGCGGCGGCCGCATTAACCATCAAGGACGAGCTTATCGACGATGACCTGCCCGACCGTAAGCCGCAGCTCCGGTTCGTGCGCCCCGAGACGTCGTACTTGGACTACCAAGACATGCAACGCGACCTCCTCTACGATCGCGGCGATCTCGGCGATCGTGTCATCTACGACATTTTCCGCATGGACGGTGCGAGCCTCCACGTGTTAGTTGCGATGGCGACACCCTATCTACCGGGGCGTATCAACCCACGCGATGTGGTATGCGTCGTTGTGCATTGGCTGGCGACTGGGGCCTCGGTGCGTGCTCAGGAGCAGTTCTTCCTCGACAAAGGGTTTTCGACCCTGCACCATTACCGTACCATCGTCTGGTCTTGAGCCTCTTCCACTTGGTACTACACCGACCGCCGTTCACGATTGAGGCGTCCCTCGGCGTCATGTCTTTGGCGACGAGCGCCCAGCCAGTCGCCTTCAGGTTCTTGCCAGCCGACACGACATACTGTGGGCTATTGGCGACATTGCGGAAGGACTCGACCAAAGCCACCTCGAGCTCGCGCGTCCAGCTCGCCGGGGCCACCATGTTCCCGCCAAAAAGAGCTTTGAACTTATTTTTATTAGCCCGAATAAAATTGACGGCCGATCCAGGCCATTCGACCTTCGATCCAATCGTGTTCGGCGAGCATTCGGGTGGTTGATCGGGCATGCCAACCGGATCTACATCCGGCTGGATGAAGATTCCGCGAATCGACATCCCGGATGCCGATCCACTTTTTTCACCGACCACGGCCTAAGATCGTGCGGATTGGAGCCATGGCGTTAGCATCAAGCGAGGAACGTCGCTGCTCGCGAAATTGAATTTTTGCAATGATTTAAATCAATGGGACTGGTAGAAACTATGACACTGGACGCGTAAAATCCACAACTCAATAAAACCTCGATGATAAATCCAAACGACAATGGGACTGGTAGAAACTATGACACTGGACGCGTAAAATCCACAACTCAATAAAACCTCGATGATAAATCCAAACGAAAACATAA